GAGGTAGGGGCAAGACAGGGGTCTGCAAAGAATTGGCCACAGAGGGAAAAGAAAAAATCCAAAAAAGGGAAGAGTCCCAGAAGCCAAAAGGTGAAGAAGAAATGAGGATCAGTATGTCAAACGCTGCTGCCCAGGAAAGATGAGCCTAAGTACTAGCTAGGGGATGTGGCCACATGGAGGTCATCGGTGACCTGGTCCAGAGCAGCCTCACTGGGAGCTAGTCAACACCCCCTAACTAGCTGGGTGGGGATCTAGCGCAAAGCCTCCACCTACTGCTGTCCACTGTCACTGTCCAGACCTTGATTCACCCTTCCTTTGTTGGTGTCAGCTCCAGCGTATTCCTCAGTCCATTTCTACCTTCATATTTATTCTCTAAGTCATTATAGGACACTATAGATACTAGACTGAACTAAACAGCGCTGCTGCTTTCATAGGTCACAAGTTCCTAGTGTTGGGGAGTGCTATAGTTCCACCTGTTATGAGCTTCTAAAGCACATAGTCCAGAGCTTAGGTGAATAATTTCCAAGTAAATGTCACATATTATTTTATGACTCCCTCCTCCTTCATTCTCCTACTGAAGTGTTGTTATTCCCATTATCCAAGTGAGGAAGATCAGAAAAGTTTAGGAATTTACCCAATGACACACAGCATTAAATAGCAGAGCCAATGGGCTGGTGAGATGGCTCAGTGGTCTAAAGCACCTACTTAGAACAAGCTTAGCAAAGCACAGGGACCGCATTTCAATCCCCCAGCACCACATGCCAGCCAGCCCTGCCCCGTGGTGGGCTGAGCTGGCCACACACACACACACACACACACACACACACACACACACAGATAAATAAATAAATAAATAAATAAATAAATAAATAAATAAATAAAATTTAAAAAAAAATAAAAATAAAAAAAATAAATAGCAGAGCCAAAACCAAGCTGTCTCTTATGCTAGCATACTGCTTGCCTTCGGTGGAGGAGAGAGCCCAGAAAGGAGGAGTGGTCCATCTTGGAGAGGCTAGAGCCCACCCTTCTATGTTGCCCCCTACTGGGGCTCCTGAAATGCAGGAACTCTCCCAGATCCCCCCACTACCTCATTCTCTCTGCCTGGGATCAGAGCCAAGGGATCCACCTCTTGGGGAAAACAAAAGAAGAATTGCGGCCTTAGGGGACTCCCAAGCTAGCCCGCAGTGGAAGGGGTGAGGCATTGTCCATGTAAGGACAAGTTTCCCCTCTCTCCTCAGTGGACCCCCCCCACTTCCCACACCTCCATTTTCCTCCCCATGCTTCTCCAGAGGCACAACCAGGCCAACAAAAGACTCCAGCCATAGGGCCCAGACCTAGAAGCAAAGTTTGGTTTCATCACAAATGATAAAAATGGACCAAAAATACAAGCTGCTCTTAAACTTTTATTACTATTATTTTTATCCCCTGGACAGCCATGTGAGCACAGAGCTGTTTTTGATTCAGCACATGTTCCTTCCAGCCCATTCCTTGCTGTGGTTCTCACGGAGGCTGAGTGGCTCCGCATCCCTGGCATGGCCCCATGGCCCATGAATTGTCCCCCATGGAGCTGGCACTGAGGGATGGGCTCCCCACAGATCTCCAGGTCTGCAGTGTGCCTGGTTTGAAAGGGAAGCATGGGCCCTTTTCTCATGGCCAAATGGAAAAATAAGGGGCAGTGCATCTTCCCAGGGCAAGGCACAAAGCACCACCAGGCAGTGGCTCCCACATTGACATCCTCCAGCATAGGAGAGGAGCTGGTCAAAGGGCTTTCTGGAAGTGGAGAACATTCAAGCTAATTCCACAGGGGAGAAGAGAATATACTTAGTCGGAGGAGTGGTACATGGTGCATGTACACCTCGTGGCTCTCCAAGACACTCTGCATTCTCACCTTTGTGAGTTACAGAAAATAAGAACCCTTCCCTTTGTACAGGTTGAAAGCACAAACACTGGGGGTTGAAATGATTTGCCCATGTTTTCAAGCTGATGACAAAGCCAAAACCAAACTATGCTCTCTTGGTCCCCACAGTCAGGATTCTTGGAAAGAAGCCCAGCATGACCCATGAAGAGAGGAGGAATCTCAGTCCCTACTGCCCTTCTTTCAGGAACCCAGAAAAAGTGGGCTTCTTGTCCTTTTCTTGTTTATGCCCCAGTTTCCTCATCAGTAAAAGAAAGAATGCTGCTTTCTCCTCACCACCTCATCTGTGCTCTGGGATTTATTGAGTCAGAGATTGTTGAAGAAAAGGGTTTAGAAGTATGTACACACCCTGTGCTCTACTCTTCTTCTGGGGAAAAAAAAAAAGGGCAAGGGAAGGAAGGAAGGAAGGAAGAAAGGAAGGGGAAGGGGAAGGGAAGGGAAGAAAGGGAAGGGGAAGGGAAGGGAAGGTCTAGGTGCACTTTTTTTTAAAGTCCTGGGGGGACTTTCTGTTTCCTCACTGTGTCCACACGAAACTGGTGCCCTTGGGTGCCAACCCCCACCCAGAGCTTGGCAGTGTGGGTTCTGGATCTGGGGCTCTCTGTTCTTCTAGAAGTTAGTAAGAATAGGGAGACAGAGCAGGGAAAGCAGAAGGGGAAGGACTGGGCTGTCAATGCTGCATAACAGATGTCTTCTATCTTTTTCTTTCACCCCTAACCTTACCACATAGCACTAGAAGTGCCACATTAGGCCCAGGCTGAACCATTCCTGCAGCTGCACGGCTGTGGGCTCAGCTGTATTTGGTGAGGGCCACAACCTCAAGGCCTGTGATCCACTGCTGAGGTGAGCTGCCCGGTGCCTTAACAGAGCATAACTGGCTCACCCGGCCCACGGAAAATGGCAGGCACTGAGTAGCGAGTGAAGCTTGGCTGGTGTTAGGCCTCAGAAGCAATGATAATCCGGAACAGGTGGGAGATCTAGATGCCACCTTGAAGGCGAAATGCGTCCAGCTGGGAACTCAGTCCACAAGCTGGAGAGTGTCCCCAGCCCCTCTGTTCTGGTTTCCCAGTATCCTAGAGGCAGGGACAGTGAAATGGCTCTTCCTCCCAGCCAGACCACAGGAATGTGGCCAGAGCCTCAGCTGGAAAGTCCCCCTCCTCCCTCTAAGCTTCCTCTTCTCAGGAGCAGAAGGGGGGCAGGAAGGGGCTGGAAAGGCACCCCCAGATTGTCCCTGTAAGTGATCATATGGGGAAAGGAAGCCGGTGAAGACCTTGAAGTGTGGTGACAGCTGTTCCACTAATAACTTCTTACTTGGGCCCTGGGCAGTTTCCCTACAACTTCTTAAATTCAATCTCATCTTGTCTCAGTGGAAGCCTTTTGTGCTCAGCTCTAGCAGCCCAGAGTGGCTTTCCTGCTGCCTGATAGGGGAGAGTTTTCTTGGCATTGTTCGAGCATTGCATTATTCAGACAGATAGTGAGGTTAAGCTTAACAGCCTGGGTTGTATGGTAATAACAATAAGCTTGTCTTCTGGATGGTTAACAACCTAAGTTTGCAGACCAAAATTAGAGAAAAAGGAGGGCTGCAAGGAAAGCCAACATTTTGGCCCTAGCCTTCCAAGGTCACTTAAGACTCAGGGACATATGAAAACTTGTACTGTAACGTCATGTAACTCGGTAGTGTCCCAAATTTTCTGATCAAGGAGATTATGGGGCCAAAGAGGAAAGTGATCGATGATGTAGAGTGTGCCTAAGGAGAGTCACATGGGGAGAAGACACTCTCTCAGGCTTTCACAGAGAGCACACTGGCCAAGCATTGGCCGTGACTCATCCACATGGCTGACACTGAAAAGGATCTACAATCTGAGGTACAATATCTCAGCATAAATCCTGAGGGGATTTCACTGACTTTATCAGACCCAAAAGCTACAACTCTTGTTGCATAGGCCCTGCTTTACCTTGTTCTTAACCATCCAGCAGAAAAGTATAAAAACGAAATATAAGAAGTAAAGCCATGCTGTTATGTTGAGCTGTAGGGGACTCAGGTCAACAATTTCTGACACTGCCAGTGAAGAGGAAGACCCAATACTATTATGGACTACTGGACTCTTTTGGAATATTTTGCTGAGTTTACACACCTATAATATTTAAATGATGGAACTTAACAAAAAAAGGGGATACAAGTGAATGTCCATTTTGTATCTGTGTATTCAAAGTGGTTAGGATAGATATATAGTTACATTCTCTTAATGAATAGAGGGATTTGTTCTAATGGTGTTTGTAAATAAGATATCAAGTCCACATCTTGTACAGCAATTAACCACTAGGAAGAATGTATGCAATGTGTTAATTATTGAAACTGTCCTACCAATTTGATTTGAAACTGTCTCATTGCTATTTGTTTCTCAATAAACTTATGGGAAAAAAATAATAAAATAAACAAGAGGGTGTGTAGAGCAAAGCCGTGAGGAACTGTTTGCCCACCTGCCCGCCGGCCAACTGCTGCTGCAGGGCTTCAGCAGCCCTGCCTTGGAGGGGGCCGCAGGAGCTTGCAGCCTCAGGGTGAGGTTTGCTAGCCGCCTGCTCAAGGCCTTATCTAGCCTGACCATAGAGGGGGTCTGCAAAATCAGAGCCCTCAGCCTCCTCCCATCCGTACACCCAAGGGCAGGGACTCAGTCCATTCTTCCCCAGTGTGAGACCTCTCCCTGCTGAGCCCCTCCCCATGACCAGAGCAAGGCCCGAGAAAAGAAAAGTGAGGGCAAGCTGAAGCAAAGGGATGACTGCCTCAGCCCTGCCAGCGGCATTACTCCTGCTGCCAGCTGCAAGGAGAATGCTTGCTAAGTCACTCCCAGTACCTGTCCGTCTGTTCTGCCCAACTGCTGCTCCCACTACCTAATTTATCAGCCTGGGGAGCACTGTCCTTTGGTGCTTTGGGGAAGGCAGTGCCAGCTCAGCAGGCGCCAGCCCCTCCAAGTGGGGTGTGGGCCAGGAGGGCCATCGCTGGGTGAAGGTGGGGTTCTCACTGAGATGCTCCTCTGCCTAGCTCCTCGGACAGCCACTGACCAGTGTTGTGATTCCTGTCTTCTTCCAGATGCACCAGCCAGTGAGAACACCAAGGCCCCAGAGATGAAATCCCGGAGGCCCAAGACCTCTCTTCCTCTTGTGCTAGGAACAGAGAGTGAGTACTGGCCTGGCTTGCCCGCCACGGCAGGGGGTGGCACCAACAGAGCACCTGCCTCCTGAACATCCGTTCTGCCCATACCTCCAATGCCCAGGTTCTCCTGAGGACCAAGCCAGTGGCCTTTTCTTGACACCACCTCCCCTTTGCCCCTGTGCCATCTTGTCCCCTGCCCAGACCCCCCAGCCTCACTCCCAACCTTTTCACTTGTCATCCTGCGCTCCACAGGAGCTACTCTGAATTGTTGCCCAGTGAAGTCCCCTTGCTAGGGGACTCTGACATTTTCACCGCAGTCCGAAATATCCGTGGTCCCAGCACCTCAAAGTCCCCTACACTTGCTTGTCTGTGCTCTGGACCCTCCCACCACACTGTGTGCACATGTTCACAGGTGTGTCCTCGCTGCCACCTCTTTCTCCCAATCCTGCCTCCCAACTTCCTTCCTTCCTTCCTCCTGTTTATACTGAAATGGAAGTAAGCTCCTCACTGAGCACAGCCCCCACCCACACACCCAAGCTCTTTCCCACAGGTCTTTGCGCTGGCCCCTCTCTCCACCGGATACTTTCCAGGCCAACTCCCCCAACCCCTTCCCTCCTCCCTTTAGCTCCCAGAGTATCAGCACCTTCCTCTTCTGCTGACTGCTTAGCTTCCCCATGCTCCCCACTAACCTCACCTGGGCCCTCAGAATGGCATGTGCATGCCTTGCTCGTGGAAGGCCCTCACTGATGTCCCCAAGTCAAAGAAGGTGGACCGTTCTCATGACCAAGACAGACTGCCTCCTTTTTCCTCTTTGGCTCAGCTTCCCCTGGGGCCTATTTATCTACATTGCTTTTACACGTCTGTAGAAATGCACCATTGTATGTAATTACAAGAAAAAATGATTAGTTCTAAAACAGTATAATTCATAGTATTAATATATCCACCTTTATACAAGATCAGTTTTAAATATAATTTTAAAAATTAAACTGTAATACATATGCATTTTATATCCTTTTAAAGATATGCATAATTTTTTTTAATGGAGGAAGGGGCCTGTGTAAGCAGAAGTCCCTAAAATCCTCAAAAGTCACAAGGTAGCCCTGGCTTTGATTATTATTAGTGTAATTCTGTTAGCAAAATCATCCTTTGACTCATGTCATTTTGACTGGCTGCACAGAGGCACTGCATTTTAAGGCGATCAGAAGATAAGCCACGCACAGAGAGGAGAGTCAGTGAGCCTAATTGCTTCAAAGACCTTTTCTCTTTCCCATTACAAGCCAGTATGTTATGACATTACTTTATTCTCTTCTTTCTTTTCTTCGTAAAGCAATGTATTTGATGATGATTTTGGATTCTTTGAGCACTGGCCAGCCAGAAGATTGGGGGGTAAGGGGCAGGGTGTGGGAGGGTGTGAGAATTTCCTATGGATACTTAACCAAAGTGAGTTAAACATCTGTGAGAAGAACCTTGACTGTTAAGAGTGAACATTTAATAAGTTGTTGGAAATACAGAAACAAAACTAAGTAGAACCTCCAAGGAGTAGGTTAATAGTAGCTGAACCCTGCTGTGCTAGTTATTGGGAAATGTGAGCAAGTGAGATGTCACTCTTAGAGGAGTGCCAGGGACTATGGGTCAGAGATGACATGTTGTGTCACCTCTTGGGTCCTCAGCTCTGGGACCCTGTTTCCTGACCCTGAGGGAGGGGAGGGAAGGGGAGGTCAAAGGAGAAAAACAAGAGCAGGACAATGAGCAGACGTGGAGCTGGTTCTTGGCCCTGGAGAGTGGGAGGCTGCGGAAAACTCCCATCAAGTTGTCATCTCCCAGCTCCAGAGCAACTCTGACAGCCCTCGCTGCATATGAGGCCCACCTGGGAAGCCTGGAAACCAGCAATGCGAGGGCTGCACCCCAAATCAACTAACTCTGAGCCTCTGAGTGGGAGCAGAGCTTCAGTATTTGTTTCTGGTATGAAATAACCAGTCTGGAAAGCAGCTGCCCAGAGAGGAGCAGGACTCCACTGTTGGTTGGCAGAAGCAGGCCTCCTGCTGCCTCTAAAGATGGATCCACGTCCAGCCCCTCACCCCAGTACCCTCAGAGTGTGTCAGTGCACCAGGGAGGTGAGCAGGATGCCTGTAAGTTGAGGCAACCCTAAACTGGGAAGGAACAGGATGGCAGCAAGTATTCCAACCCACACTCATGACAGACCTGGCTCCAGCCCTACATGTCTGCAGGGAGAGACTCACAGTTTGAAGACATTCTCCACATTAGAGTGACTGCCATCTCAAAGCATGAGAATGTGCATCTCTCCACACCCCTGAGATCAGTTTGCATCCCTCTGCCATCCTGCTACCCAAGGATATTGGCAGGATAGCTCCAATCCCCCTCTACCTGCACCTTCCCACCCTCTTGTCCTTTGAAGCCTGCACCCTAGGGCCAGAGAGGCACCTTAGGGCTTGGTTCCTAGAGCTTCCTGAGGGGGTGGCTGCCCACAGGTGGGACACGAATGGGCTGTCTTTAGAACTAAAGCCCATCCTTTTCTCTTTGGGGAATAACTTATTGCTTGTTTTTCCAAAAGTAATTTGTGCATGTATTCTTGTTTAAGAATTTTAAACAGTGAAGAAATACATCAAGTACAGTGTGAAAGTCCTCTTTCATCCATCACTAATTCCACTCACCCAGCAAACATTCAGTTATTTTTTTCTGTGTATTTATATGTGTACAAATATGCAAATGCATTAGTAGGATTTTTTTTTCCCTTTATAAATGGAATCATGCAGTGTGTAAGCCTGAGCCGTGCCTCTAGGCCTAGGCACCCCCCCCACGAGTGATCTGGCTGTGTATATGTGTTCACTTTCGCCTCGGGCTGAGCAGTACCCAACCTCTGGAGAAATCTCTCTTCCTGAGGGAGGGGCAAGTTTCCTGCCAGGCAGATTGGGGCCATGCCCCACTCTGTGCACCTGCCTGTCTGTCCCCAGCAAGATCATTTGGACCTGTCAGCCAGCTGTCAAAGAGTGGGACTGAGCAATGCTTGTCCAGTCTGTGGCCTGGACACCCACACTCACTGGCCAAGCACTGAGGAGCAAGAGGAGAATATCACAGCATACAGACTGACAGAAGCCCCTTGACCTGCCAGCACCTGGCAGCGTACACCTAGGAGGGAGCTGGGGAGGTTTGGGGAGCTTTGGGATGGGAGCCTGGTGGGTGCGAAGGAGGAGGGGAATGTAGCTTGTATGGTCTAGTTGGAGAGGAGTGACAACATTGCAGAGGTGAGGAGGCAGGAGCTGCAGGGAGGCATACACAGACGCTGGGTGGGGTTGAGTCACGCAACCCGGAGTGTTGCAGGTTCCTGCGCACACTGCCGCCTTGGTGCTCTCTCTGTGTCTTGGCCAAGCCTCATGCCACTGTGCTTCCAGTCATAGTCATTCCCATCTTAACAATGAAGGAATCAGAGTGTTGGAGACCACATGATCCTGCCCAGGGTCTCCTAGCTAGGCAGGATGGAGCAGTGTCCCTGCTCTGTGTCCTTGTCACTACCTTCTGTGCCTTGCCGTAGTCTCAGGGCCAACTGTGTAGTCCACGTGAGGCGGACAGTTCTCCCCAAGCTCCCCAGGCAGCAGGTTTTGGCAGAGCTGGCCCCTGGGGCTGGTGGAGGCCTGGCTCCCCTGAGAGCTGAGCAGAAGGGCAGCAGCTGGCATGCGACTCTGGCACCAGGGACCTACCTGCCAAGGGCTTGCTGCACACCCTCCACTGGTACTTTGGAATAACCATCTTCATATCATTTGAAAATTATAGGGAATTTGCAATGATAGAACAAGGAACTTTTAGGGCCAGGGAAATAGCTCAGCGGTGTATGCACCTACCTGGAAAGTGCAAGGTCCTGAGTTCAATCCTTGGTACAAAAGAAAAAAAGACAAGGATCCTCTTCACTTAAAATTCACCTTTACATTTTGTTCCATTGTTTTATCATTTTCTATGTATATATTAACATATTTGCATTTAGATAGATGGAGAATATATTTGAGACCATGCCTTTGACTCCTAAATCATTTTGTGTCTCCTAAGAATATAGCCTCAATGCAGTGATTGCAATCAAGCACTCTGCATTGAGCTAATGCCACTATAGAATCATTCTACAGTCTATTCTCCATTTTTGTCAGTTGGGCTAGTAATGCCCTTTTTTTGTTGTTGTTTGTTTGTTTTCTCTTTGTGGAAATCTAATACCCACAGTCCTGGATCATTTTGTTTACCCCTCCAGCCCAAAGTGGGTCCTCTCCTAATATAGAGTCAGAATGGGGGAGATATGCACAGGCTCAGAAGAGCAGCCAGACTCCCCCGCCTGAGTCAGGGGGACATGGGAATTCAGGCAACCCCCAGTGTGTGATCTGTCTTGGGGCAACACTCAGGCACAGGGCATAATAAGAAGAAAGCCATTGGGCCTGAAAGCAGAAGACAGACTGGGCATGGAGACACACAGTTGTGATCCTAGCACTCTAGGAGGCTGAGGCAGGAGGATTACAAGTTGGAGCCCAGCCTGGATAACTTAGAGACTTAGTAAGATCCTGTCCCAAAATAAAAATAAAAGGCACTAGGACTGTAACTCCCATGCAAAGGGCCTGGATTAAATCAAAGCTTTGCAAAATAAAAGTGGTGGGGGCAGGGCCTGGGAGTGGAGCTCAGTGGTAGAGAATATACCTAGTATGTGCAAGGTTATGGGTTCAATCCCAGGACCCAGAAAATACAGATGAAGTGATACCAGGTGTGATAACAGACTGAGGGACTACTATCAGTCTGTACATACTGATGGTCTTCTAGAAAGGATATAAATGACCCTCTCCACAGGGGCGTTTACAACTTGAGCAGCCTGCCCCTGCATAGACCATGATAAATATTTGTTTTATAAGCAATTCATGAGCTCCCTTCTTTAAGGATCCCTGTCCCTCTATGTTCTGTGATTTAGGAACAGTACAAATACAGCATCCCTTACATTCCATGCCTGGCCTTGAGCTCTACTCTGACACTTGTCACTT